TCACTTCACAGCTGCCTCCCCGCGGCAGGGGGGCGGGGCAGGTTGAACTGGAAACATTTCGAACACGGTCGCTGTTTGTTTAAAGTCCCCCCCCCCAGTAAATATCGGTTATTTTAATGGAGATCTTACAATGTGTCTCAAGATTGTAAAATCCCAGATATGCTGCCTTTGTAAAATAAGCTTGATAAATAAGTTAATACATTCAGAGGGCCAGCCTCCCCGCGGCAGGGGGGCGGGGCAGGTTGAACTGGAAACATTTCGAACACGGTCGCTGTTTGTTTAAAGTCCCCCCCCCCAGTAAATATCGGTTATTTTAATGGAGATCTTACAATGTGTCTCAAGATTGTAAAATCCCAGATATGCTGCCTTTGTAAAATAAGCTTGATAAATAAGTTAATACATTCAGAGGGCCACTCTTAGTTATTTACAAAGTGTAGCAAGTAACTTGCTTTGATACAACACTTTTCAACCCAAAGGACTGGACTTACAATAAAATAGGTTTATGCAACACAGCACAACATGGTCCTGGGTCCACCACCAGGGCTTCTGGGTGCTAGTCATACAACTAAATTAATAATGATGATAATAATAAAAGGACCAGCTCCCAAGATTCATTCAACTCTTCCAAATCACATAAATGATTAGGATGAGCCACAACTACTCATGACTTTACACATTTAACAGGGGAACTACTGTGTCACCAGCTCCTGTAACTTTATTGCAAGTTTTGTGTTTTTTTTCTGAACCAGTGGGAGTCATGCAATTGAGGAAGGGTTGTTTGATTATTTTAAAGTAAGCTGTGATGGTGTGTTGGGGTTTTCCCATCTCCTGCACCCCAGTAATGGCATGGACAGACTCCACCAGCCAGTAGAATAGAGGGAGTTTATTGCTTCTCCAGGATACAGCACAGCACAGATGTAATCTGGTTACAGGGCAGGCCTAGGATGCCTCAGCCCCCCTTGAGATGAGAGAGCCTGGGCCCCTAAATCCCAGCCCGTTACCTAAGCTGCTTCCTCCATGATACCAGCCAGAAACCTCACCCCCTCACTTCCAGCCCTGCCCCCAGCCAGGGCTCCACTCTCCTTCTTCCCAGTGTCCCGCTCCCTGGGAGATAACTCATCAGACAGGTTCAAAGCCCCCTTGCATAATGACTCATCCCCTGCCCTGCTGGGCCGAGCTACAGACAGCAGCCAGTGGAGGTCACTCACAACCCACTGCCCAGCATAGCAACCAGCAAAGTACCCCACACTATGTCACATAAGCCTTTAGCTCTTACTAGGGACAACCAGGGCTGCCCTTACCCAGAGGCAGAATATGCGGTTTTGGGCACTCAAAGATTTAAGGCATCACTGGGTCTTAATGTCCACCTACTAATCTCTTCCTGTCCCTGTACTCTACTTCCTCCAAAGAGGATCTAGTTAACTTACAAGTGAAAAAGCCTGCCAGACCTATTAGTAGAACTTGTGAAAGAGCCAGTCAAATGGAAACAGCCTTTTAATAGGCATTTGACAACCCACCAGTTTCTGAATTTACTATGTTAATCCACAGGACCTTAATTTAAAATGTTTTAAAAATATTTTGTTAGTGTGTTGCTGAAGACTATAAAATCACATCTCTAAAAAATTGTTGTTCTCACAGCTGCCATCGGGCACAGGGGCGCAAGTTTAATAGCACCAAGGCCCCTACATCCTATGCACGGCCCTGGTGATAGCTGTTGGTACCTGCAAACCTTAAAAACTGAAATGCCAGATGGCAAATGAAAAGATCCCAACATTTATTATTTATAAAAAGATCATGATTTTTAGCCCCTCATAATGTTGGGGGGACTTGACTTTTCTGTTAAAACTACCAAGGAATTATTTCTCTCACTAATGCTCCTTTTGTTAACTGCAAAGGGGAAAAGAAATCACAAAATTCAACCTGCCTCAGCAGCATGGCTGTGGGTTGCACCAGAAAGGGAAGTTCAAGGCTAAAACCACTAGCCCTGCTTCATGTGCAGAGAAGGCTGAAATGCTATTAAAGATTACTGCCATAGAAAGGTAGAACCACCCCTGCACTTTGCAGTATTCCAACTCTTACCTCAGCTCCATAGTACAGCATCACCCTTCTCAGTCTGCTTGCCTTAGGTCTATACCCTGAGAGCCTCTGACTGAGCCTTTAAAACAGGCCTGGAAAGGTGATGTAACAGAAGAAAAAGAGGGCCACTGACCTCTGATCCTTTCCGGATTCAGTACATAGTTGCAGACTAGTTGCAGCGTTTGGCTTTGAAATAGTCATTCTGGCAGCTTCCTTAACTCAATGGCTGTAAGCCATTTCTAACAATCTACTGACAATATGACCCACTGTAGTGACTAGCACCTGCACAGCAGGCAGCCAACAGCAGCCACAAGAGGCTAATACAAGTTTGAGAGGCATACACTCTCTAGTGCAGCCACAACTCCTCTCAGCAGTGATGGGAGGGGGGAGGAGGAGGACTCAAACCCCTCCTGGTGCTATCTTACACCACTTCTGCAGACAGGTAGGGCACAATGGTGCAGGTGCAAGGTGAGCTCTCCACCCACCTTGAGGAGGGGGCTGGTCGGGCATGACCTTCAGTTGGGCAGCAGGATTTCAGGAGCTCGATCTCTGGCTTCAGGCACTTAGCCCTAGTTCTGGCTACACAATGGCAGCTGCTGAAACCCAGTTCTGACCATGTGACTCCAGCTTCAGGTCCCCAGCTCCAGCCCTTTGATTGGTGGGCACTAGCCCCAGATCTCCTCCCAGGCTCTGGCAGTGGGAACCAACCCTGGGGGCTGAACTCTGCCCCCCGACTGTAACTGAGCAGTGGCAGACACAGATCCTCCACTCAAGCCATGTGACCCCAGCTCCCAGTGCTGACCCCAGTCCCAGCCATATGGCATGGGCACCATCCCTGGGGGCAGAAGCTGGCTCTGGTGCCAACCACTGACCCTGGTTATGCCACAGTGAACCCCAGCTCTGGCTACATGGCAGCAGGCACTGAGCTCCAGCCATGCAGCCCTAAGCCCCAGCTCTGGGCTCTTGACCACACACCTTTGGCTCTGTCCATGTGGCAGTAGAGCTCACCTCCCCCCACAATCTTCTCGGGCCCCAGCCAGTCTTTCATCTGTTCTGTGGCTTGCTGAGAAAGTATCAACACACAGCACTGTTCACAGTAACATACTAGCCAGCTGGGAGACTGCAATAAGTGGTATTAACACAGGCATCACTTTGCATGCCCTTCCATCTGGCTACTAAATGTGCTACTGTGGAAAGTGCCATTAACATCAATTTTCACAGCATTTTTATTATGAAGTTCTGCAAAAGAACAAACCCCCCCCCAAAACAAAAATACCCCAGCTGTGTCTAGACAGGCAAGTTTTTCCGCAAAATCATCTGCTTTTGCAGAAAAACTTGCCAGCTGTCTACACTGGCCGCTTGAATTTCCGCAAAAGCACTGACGATCTCATGTAAGATTGTCAGTGCTTTTGCGGAAAAACTATGCTGCTCCCGTTCGGGCAAAAGTCTTTTTCCAAAAGACTTTTGTGCAAAAGGGTCAGTGTAGACAGCAGAGATTTGTTTTCCGCAAAAAAGCCCCAATCGCGAAAATGGCGATCGGGGCTTTTTTGCAGAAAAGTGTGTCTAGATTTTGCGGAAAAGCGTCCTGCCAATCTAGACACTTTTCCAAAAATGCTTTTAACGGAAAACTTTTCCGCTAAAGCATTTCCGGAAAATCATGCCAGTGTCAACATAGCCCCCCAGTCTAACCTTTAATAACCAATTATTTGGATATGTAGCTATACTATTGGCTTTTTCTCCAGTTAAGTATTTTAGGGGAAAAGTATCAATCTGGACATTGTTGGCTGCAACTCTACAGGCAGTCCCCGACTTACGTGGATCCGACTTATGTCGGATCCCTAGATACGAACGGGGTGAGGCAACTCCCGCACATGCGCAGCAGCATTCCCGGGGCTCGCTCACCTGGGTCCTAGGATCCTCCTCCTCCTTGGGACGGCTCCGACTGGGGTCCCGCAGAGCTGCCGGGCAGAGGAAAAGTGCCTCCCCATACCCGCTGCCCCCCCCACCCCTCTGCCAGCAACAGGCTGCCGAACAGACAAAAGCAGCCTCTCTGCCCCTCCTCCCCTCTATACATGCCGGGCTCCCG